GTAGGTTATTTGGTTTGTAAGACGGTTATTACTTAAATAAGAGTCTTTCTTAGTATACTTCTTTTTTCTTTTTTCTTTTTATGTTTCTTTTCTTTGTGTTTATTCCAGTGGTATTCTAATCTAATTGAAACTATAACAAATGAGAATCGAACTAGCTAGGTTGTAAAGGAAAGCACATTGCTCTTGCTAAATATGTTTTTCTTTAATTTAACTACACATTTTTCTTTAAGCAACAAAAATTAGAGATAGGAAGAGAGAGCATTTGACCGAAATTGAGAATGAATTCGAAATGAACTTAGCCCTCATGCATATGTGATTAGAGTATGATCAATACTCATCCTTTTGACATGACTCTAACATCTAAATTTGATTCTCCTTCCTCAAATCCAAACTTAAAAATCTCTCATTTCCCAGCCTTTGAACTGTGATTTGAGTTTCCGGAACGCTAAATCCTAAAACCTAAACCCTAAACATTTAGTGTTCTTAGTCATATAGACAAGGGGCAGGATGAGGGTGATCATTACTTCATGGGGACACAAATTTACCATGGAAGTGAATGTCAAGGAACCAGTTGTTGAAATCAAAAGGAAGATAGAACAAGTGTTGGGTGTCCCTTTGGCTTCCCAAACCCTTGCAGTGTGTGGCTGGGAGTTAATAGATGGATTAGACATGGAAGATTACCCAATTGTCACTGAAGGTACTACCATTGACCTCACCATCAAATGGACTGGATTCGGAACTCCTTCGAATTTATACCATAATTCTAGTGGTAAAATTCAAATTACCATCAAGTTTTCAGCAAGGCAGCTTCCCATGGAGGTTGATGCATCCGAAACAGTCCGTAGCCTTAAAGAAAAAATACATATCATGGACGGTACCCCGATCAAGAGGATGTCGCTCTTCTTCTGTGGAATTGAGTTAGACGAAGATTTTCGCAATCTAAGTGAGTACGGGATACATTCATTTTCGGAGATTGTTGTGTTCCTCAAGGCTATGAGTCGTCTCAGAGATGAGCCGACGGCAAGAAGGTTGAGTGTAGTGCTACAAACATCGTCAAGTTTACTCAACGCGGCAACGATTCCATTGGAAGTGAAGGATTTGAGCACGGTTAATGAGTTGAGGCAATTGCTTTTGAGCAGGAAAATTCTGCCAATGGATGATTACTTGTTTATACACAAGCAGAGGATCATGCGTGACAATTGCAGCCTCAGGTGGCATGGTGTTGGTGATGGAGATTTCCTATATGTGTTTAAAGGGACCCTTTGTCACAGCGAATGCTGAAATGCAAAAACATACAGTTTTAGGCCGCATTTGGTATTGCTTGTTTTCATTGAAAACTGATTCACTTTAAAACAGTCACACGGAAAACATAACAAGTAATTTACTAGAAGTTGAACTCAAATCTGTTAGCTTGTCTTATACATAAATTAGGGGAAAAATGAATAAGTGATTTTGTATTAATAAAAGAAAGAATACACACAAGTCCTAATGCGTGTTGGAGCACAAAAAAATAGGAGAAAAAACCTATCAAAGAGAGCTCAAATTAATCATCTACCAACTCTAATGATATCTGATCCAGACAAAGATGATGTAGAAGATAAAGAATTTTTCATGTCTTCAAATGTAGGGTGTCCCTGCCCTCTCATGTTCCACCGATAAGTCGACCACATCGGAGTTGTTCTAATCTTGTGCAGCAAATTTACATGCATTCCTTCCTCTTGGGACAGATTGCCATCAATGCCATCATCGTCACTTGCTCCTTCAAGCACCTTCATAACTTGCCTCATTGTTGGCCTCTCATGAGCTTCAGGATATGCACACAACAATCCCAAATGAAGCAATCTCTCGACGTCCTCCACGTTGTATCCGCCCTTTGCCTTGAGCCGATCATCAAGTGCTACGTTCAACCTTCCCTTCTCCATTAGCCTCCAACACCAATCAACCAACCCCAGCTTCCCATCCTCTATCGGTCTCCGCCCACACACCACCTCTAGTACTAATATCCCAAAACCAAACACATCAACCTCAGCTGAGGCTCTTCCAGTTCGAACCACTTCGGGTGCCATGTACCCTGCCGTCCCAACCACTTGTGTTGTGCCCGTCATTTCCCCGTGTAGGTGCATTCGGGCCAATCCGAAATCTCCTAACCTAGCATTCATATCCTTATCAAGTAGCACATTGCTTGATTTGATATCTCTATGCAAAACCTTAGCTTCCCAACCCTCGTGCAAATACAAAATCCCACTAGCAACATCTTTCAACACCTTAATTCTCTCTTCCCAACTCAACAAGTTTCTCTCATTGCACTCAAATATCCTCTTATCCAAGCTACCATTTTCCATGTAATCATAAACCAAGATTAGACTGCCCTTTTCTCTCTTGCACCAACCTCTCAGTCCTACCAAATTCCTATGCTTCAATCTTCCCAAGCTCGAAACCTCAGCCACGAACTCTTTCAACCCACGTTCACTTTGAAGCAGAATTCTTTTCACTGCTACTTCTGCTCCTCCTAGTACCCCTTTATACACCTTCCCAAGCCCTCCAATCCCAATCACCTTCTTCTCCGAAAATCCCTCTGTCGCGGTATGTATCTCTTCGTAATCAATCCGGTGAGGCCAGTACTCCAATTCCCAATCTTCAACTTTCTCTACATCCTCCTCTCCTTTCATTCGCTTTCTCCTCTTCCTCCTCACCAAAATGAAACACACCAAAACCACGCACCAAGCAACCAAAAACCCGCCAACACTAACTCCCACAACAAACCCTTTTACTCCGAAAACAGACTTGTTCTCTGACACCACAAAGGAAGGCAAATTCTGAGTGACCAAAGCGTCACTGATGGAGAAATTAGAATTGCTAAAGCTCCAAGCCAATATCCTATGGCTCTCAACCAATGCTCCAGTTGCCGCGCAAAACCCCACGTACATTTCATCCAAAAGCACCCGGGACAGATCCACCACCTCACTTATCAGCGGCCTCCGCGGCTTTGCCATGCCGGCACGAGCCATGGTCACGTTAATTCTCGAGCCCATAAAATCAATCCACACTTGATAGTTAATTCCATTGTTGAGCTTCAACTCGTTGAAATCTTGATCAAGTCCGCCACTCCAATACCCTGCGGTGCTAGAAGCATTAGACGTAAGGGAGTTGATGTCCAAACCAACATGGTTGTCATCAGGATCCTGGAACTCTTGGTTTTCGAAGACATCAAACTCGACACCGAAGATGTTGTTGTTGGGGTCGCCGTTGTTGGAGAAGTTGAAAAAACCCAAGTGCTGCGAGGAGCTTGCACCGCTTAAGCCAGAGAAGGGTGAGAAGAGGAAGGCAAAACCGTGGCCGGGAAGGAGGTTTTTGACGGGAGCAAGGGAGAAAATAAAAGAGGTGGAGAAATTAAGGGCTTCTGAAGAGTCGGCGTATTTGGTGGGGATTTTGTGAGAGTAGAAAGCGCGTCCCAGTGAGAAGGTGGTGGAGTCATTGGTGAGGCTGAGGATGGAGGATTGGATGGTGGCGCTGCCGTAGAGGCTGAGGTTGCTGCTGGAGTTGAAGTTGGTGTTGAAGACGAACTCTGTGGCGCCGCCGAAAGTTGGGAATGTTGTGATCAGAAAAATGGTCCAAGTGATGACCAGGAAGACAGAGAGGATCGTCGGAGCAGGAGACATTAGAGAAGGACAATGATTGATTTTTGGAGAACAAGAACATGTATATCGGATTCAATAATTCTAGTGGGCTTTAGACGAACAAAGAAAAAACATAAGGACACAGACATGAGAAAGAAGAAGCTTGCTTCTTGGAAATGGCCGCCGTTTTATGTCTTGTGTAGGTTATTTGACTTCACATTTCTTAATCATACAAGCAAATTGAACGAGTGTTTCCCACTTATCCTAGATCTAAGGTCTAAAGAAATTGGAGTCATTTACTGTTCGATCTTAATCCAACGATGCAGAAGAAAGTAAAACAACATAAAAGAAATATTTATTCTCCTTCGCTGCTAAATAAGATCTAAGAGAATGAGACTGCCGGAAAGATGTTAACGCACTACTTTTGTTCGACGATGTTAACGCTAAAAATTTATTACAATTTTAATTTGTTCGGCTATATTAATGATGAGAGAAATTAAATTAAAAAGTTGAATTAGGTTTTGAGTCAAAATGGGACTTCTAAACCAAGGCAGGTCAAGTATGTTTAGCACGGTTGTGGTCGTGGATAGCGGCTGCCCCACAGCTTCGGGTGGAATATATTTGAACATGTCCTTGTTGACTGTCATGCCAAATCTGACGGCTGGCAAAGAAAATATCGCGTTAGGATTTCAAATCTACAATTTTCTCCTTGTAGCTCGAAATGGTATAATTTTAGGCTTATTTTAGGCTATTTACTCTGCGTGAAATCTAATTTTATTTTCTACGCTTTGTTCTGTCTCAATGTGATCCATGCACTCATCATTTGTGTTTTTCTTCACTTTGGATTTTTCAGACCGTTTTCACATTTAGAACATCTGAAACAAAGATAATCACACAGCACGGGAAAAAAATTAAAACAAAACGCTCGCCAAAATTACTCAAGTTCTCTCGTTCGCAACACTAATAAAAGACTTTAATTTCTAAAAAATTGTTGTTAAAACTCTCTGTTTTTATAATATATCCTTGTGTTCACAGCTAAAAAACTAAAGAATCCCTGTCATGTCAGTGAAACTATGGTTTCGTGGAGATGAGATAACGTAGGACATAGAGGATAAGTATAGTGAATAAAGTGAGACAAAACAAAATGCAGAGGAGAAGATGAGATCTCGTGTAGAATACGTGCGACAACGCCAAAAATAAGCCTAACTTCTACATGAAATAATCAATCGAAGAACATACCACACTATCAAAATACTTCCGATTTCTTATTTCCTTGTTTAAAACACGATATAAACTGTTCATTCATATATGTTTTCATACGAGTAGCAAAAGTGCACCTCACCTTTCGGAAGTGTTAAAAGAGTATTCAACCCGTGTTCACCCTATTGTGAAGAACAGCAAAAACTCACATAAATTGCAACCAAGCGAAGAAAATGGAGACACTAACTTACATGGCAAGAATTATTTTTCAACTGTATGTACGACGAATAAATTTGGTGCATTCATCCTCAAATGGCTACGAGAGGGTCTCGGACTTAAATTATGGGTTAAGATACATAAAGTATGTTCTAATGAAAAATCCTCTTCTTCAAAATTAGCCATCTGATGTTTCATTTACTAACGAATATGGGACTGAAGAAAGTACTCACTGTACAGGGAAAGTACTCACTGTACAGGGAAGGGCGTAGCTTCATCTCTCTCTTTGTATTGTGTATCTGTATCAGTGTGTGTGTTATGACGAAGTCAAGGGGTTCCAGGGGTCCAGCTCCAATACGACCAGGAACACAAATGTTTAATTTCACAGCTTATCCAGCTCGATGTCTTTCGGTCACTTGCGTCCCATGTCTGCTCTTCTCAAGTCGAGCACGCCGGGCGTATTCTTGGATCCGATGGTCATGGTCTTTAAGCATCTGATCCACATTGTTTGAAGAAACAAGTAATGGACCAGACACGTAAATTTTGTTCCCCTTGGGCCCCCGACCATGCTGCAAAAAGAATTTTGAAGAAGAATTTAGGTTCAGCTAACTAGAATAAGTATATCAGAGAATGACTGGCAGGATCCATAGTATGCAATAGTTGTGACATAAACTGACACTTTTACGGAGAAAAACAAAACTAACCATATTTGGTTCTTTAATAGAGCCATTCTCATCTTCCATCTGACAAGAACTGGCAACTCTCTGTGTGTAATGCATCAGCTCCTGCTTCTTTGCAGATTCCTCCTGATCAAATGACCCTGGAAATCCGCCTACTGGCTTTATTGTTTCTTGTCCTGAGGGACCAGGTTTTTCTTGTTGGTCGTCGGACAATGCAGTCCTAGCCATTACTAAACCAGATAATTTCGACAAGTTGGCTCTATTTGAACTCAAAAAGGAATCATTAAGTTCCTTCCCAGACTTAGCCCATCCAGGTCCATGGATTAGTGGTCCTGAAATTGAAGTCCTCTTATTCTGGTGCTCCGTGAAATCCTTTCTAGCATCTTTATCGCTTGGCAAATGTTTGGTTGGATCAACCAGAAACCCAGAAAGAGTTTGTTCCCTATGCGGGTTGAACATTTCACTTCGGACCCTTGGGTTGGAATGGCCTTGTCTTCTCTGTAATTGGAGGGCAAATGTCATCATAAAGAAATAAACAGAGGCAGAAGAAGCATTTATATAAGAATCACAATGTATGTGAACAGAGAGCAGAGAATTCAGTTATCAAAATAAAGACCTAAATATGAACAAGTTCAACATACGTGTGAATATGTTTAGTTATCAAAAGTAAATTGCAAAACATATTCGCAAGAATTTCTTCACAAGTTTGACAAAAATGTAAATCCAAAATATTTTGTAGGAACCTTCCCCTAATATTAACACACAATATCGAAACACATTTCATAAATTCCTCCTCCTCCAAACAGATATGAACTACTTGATTCTAAAGTGAATCTAGAAAGTTAATACCTTATAGCCTCCAAAGTGATGATGCACATAAAATTAAATTAAAAACAAAAACCATTCTAAATATTCTTTTAAAGATTTAGCTTTATGGATCTTCCTTCATTTCTTAATCACATGTCTCCAATCTCACCTCCCTCTCTCCTCTTACCATATATACATAAAAGAAAAACTATAAACCAAACATATAAAGTTATAAACATCATGAAACGGGGCCTAACTTATCTGACTCATGGGGAAAGTAAAAGATACTCAAAACAAAAGACAAGCCAACCAGCAGTGTTGAAATTACTATAGATTTTCATCCGAGAGGCTTGAACCAGTAGATTATAGTATGACATAACAGCAGAGTATAAAAGTTTAAAATAAAATCCATAAATTTCTAAAATATGGTCATTTTCAAATATCCTTTTATATACAGAATTACAATTACAACTTTCACCCAAACTTATAAATAACTTTCGTCTCTGGGAGCTCATTTCAATGTCAAACAAAATCCAACTTTGAACACGAAGATATAAAACTTATTTTTAGTTACCTGCACTGACGCAATGGACTCGGAGTTAGCATTTGTTCCTGCAACTGCTGGAGGTTGTGTTCTCCTGCCAAGGTCTTCCTTCTGACCCCTTCCTCCACTGGCTCCTTGCCTATAAAAAAGTGCATAAAGATTAACCTTGTATCATCTTTGTCTGAAAAGTATTAATGCGTTACCAACAAGACGTACTTTCTAGCTTCTGCTTCTCGCAATTTGGCATCAATCTCTTTGCTGGGGGGGTACTTGGGCAAACTTGAAGGATCACAAGGAAAAGGCTTTGCGGTGAAGAACTGTTGAAAGAACATTCATTATTACAAAAGAGAAAGGAATTCATAGGCCTCTTATACGATTAAATGAAACAGATTCAAGGTTTTAAAGGAAAAGGAACAATTGTAAGGACAGTTGCTGAAAGATAATTCAATTCTGTTCCACACATCCTTCTCCCAGCCTAATCAGGTACACAAACTTTTAGGAATACATAGAACATGAATATATATAACTATAAAACAGCATTGGTTCCATTTTATGTATTTCCTTTTTGCAGTTTCCAGAAAATAAATTGCACACACCTCATTCTTGAGGGCAATTGCAGCAGTTCCTCGATCAGCAGGATTGACAGAAAGTAAAATGTCCATAAGCTGCAGAGCTGCAGCAGGAAGGTCATTAAAAGTCTCTGCCACGCATCTTCTATAAGGTTGAGGAGGCTTGATCATTGTTGAATTTCGTAAGCGCAATTTACGCCAATAATCCTCAGATGGTGAGCCACAGAGCTTGAAAATTTTATGCAATTGTTCAACCTATAATAAAAAAAATGCGCATAAATTAATAGGCACCACCTGAATATATACAGAGAAATTTCATCTTAAGTCAAACAAATAGCGAGGAGAAATGTAGCTGTGAGGAACAAGCAATGTCGCCAATGCCTCACACTAAGTCCACACAATATGTCAAACACTTGCCAAGGACATAATCTTGCTACTCAAATCCATGGTTCATATAAATCCTCGAGATACATCAAGACTGCACTCTAGCTTTTCTCTCACATTATGTGTTTAAGATTTAGAAACTCAAAATATTATAAGCAAATAAACATAATTACGTCATGAATTAAGCTTTTACAATAAAAGAATTGGGCATAATTAGTCATATACTCAAATATCATCTGCAATTTTGAAATAAAAATCAACAACTCAGAGAGATCCTCTTTCTCAGATCTTTATTATTTTAGGATAATGTAATCCGTAATAATTTCACAAAGACATGTCAAAGCCAATAATGATCTAACCTGGACCGTAAGGGTATCAACAATGCATGGATTCTAAGGGGTAAAATTCCTCAATGTCTTACCTCTGTTTTTCCTGGAAGGATGGGCTTTCCAGAATACAATTCTCCTAGTATGCAACCTGTGCTCCATAAATCCACAGCAACACCATATTTAGTGGCACCAAGTAAAAGCTCTGGAGGCCGATACCAAAGAGTCACAACACGGCTTGTCAATGGAACACTGTGACGAGGATCATAATTGCTTGCCAAGCCAAAGTCAGCAATTTTCAAGATGCCATTGTTGTCAACAAGAAGATTTGACCCCTTTATGTCACGATGCAAAACACCATGGTTATGACAGTGCTCAAGACCACTTAAAAGCTGCTGCATGTAACATTTGACCTAAAATGAAATAAAAACAACACTAGAATTAGGAATCTTACAGGGGCATTGTTTCCATTCTGTAAAAATGGGCTATTTTATTTGCATAGATGTACGGTAGAGAGGTACATTAAGAAATGTAAGAGAAGTGTAAAAGCGATAAGACTACCTGAGGTTCGGAGAACTTAATGCCTGGGTGTGATGCAAGCCCTGTAAGATCATGTTCCATATACTCAAAAATAAGGTACAAGCTGCTAGATGACCGTGCTGTGATCAATCCTTGCAACTTTATTATATTAGGGTGATCAAGCCTGCGCAAGAAAAGAATTTCTCTTGCCATAAACTTGACACTCTCAGAATCGAGATTATCAAATCTGACTTTTTTCAGAGCAACAAATTTATCGTTCATGACATCGCGAGCCTTGTAAACACTACTATAAGTTCCTTGGCCAATCTGAAAGAGGGAGATGCCAAAACATGCAAAAAGAGAAAAGAATCAGGAACTGATAACTATTAACATGAACAAGAGTAATTAACTGCACAACCATGGTAGCTTGAAAAAAATTGTCATATCATGAAGAAAACCGCCCAATTTTCTTTTCTCGAATCATTGTGAGTTTATTCCCTATCCCTGACCAACAGCATTAGTTATACTAATACAATAACATAAGAGATACATCATGTACCGTATCAAGTAAAGAATTGAACATACTTTGTTTAACTTCTCGAACGTGTCAGCGCGTCGTGGTATCCATCCATTGATAGCTTCAGGGGCAGCTGCAGCGAGCCAACCTGGCCATCCTGCCGCTAATTGCTCGGCCACTGTAGCGTTGGGAATTCTTCTCGAACCCGGATGATCAAGAAGAGCAACCTCAGCCTTGTCCATCTTCTTACTCTTAGTCACATCATATGATCGGATTGAACCATTGACTTTCTTATCCACCAACATAATTTTGACATCACCACCACCACCCAATCTATCTTTAGTCCAAACTGGCTCCTCTCTTTTCGAAGAATTGAACCGCGAAACCTTCAGCTCAGAGTGCTGCCTACTCGAAATCGAAGCCACCCTTTTTGGTGGGCTTTCCCGGCTATCTTCGACGGCCGAAGCCTTGGTACATATTAAACCCATGTTGAACTAGAAACAAACACAAAACCCTCCTTCACAAGCAAAATTCACCACCCAAAACCAATCCAAACCTTCACAAAACCTCCTTCTTTACCTAACTCCATCACAAAGAATCTAAACCAAAGAATCAACTATCCATAATTCACCTTCCAAAGAACTCATAATTCACCCTTTACCCACTTCATCTCACAAACATTCAATATTCACCTAATATACAACCCTCAGAAAACCCAAAAAATTGCTACTTTTGACACATTCAAATTTACCCAATACCCAAATCTCCAAATTCAATTCAAAATACGAATTTGAAAAAGAATCTCCAATTCTTGGATGAAAAATAAGAAAGTGAGAAAATAACAATTAGACTAGTACTGTAACAAGTACGGAAATTTTGAAAAAAAAAAAAAAAAAGAGATGAATAAATACAGAATAGGTTGAGCAACGATTGAGAAATCGATTGAGAAAGAAAGAGGGTTAATTACCAAGAAAGTGCAGAAACAGAAGAAGCATGCTTTTGTGGGTTGTGGGTTTGTGGGCGTATTGTTGGGTTAATCGTTCAACGCGCATTCAAATAACTAAATATTTCTTACAAAATGATTAACGTATTGCGAGACGGCAGTGGCCGGCTACTGTGCTCGGTCAACAAAACACATACACTCTCTCTTCTCTTCCAGACTTCTAATCCAACAGTTCTTACTCAATCAAAGATTCAAAGCGAATAAAACATCAGAAGAAACAAACACACAAGGTGTCAAAAATGGGTGATGTTTGGCTCCTTTGGAATTTTTTTTTTTTAATTGTTGGTTTTATTTGTATATACAAAGTAGGAGTGGGGTACTTAGTGGGTTTATCGATCAACCCAACCAACTCAATCAAAATTTGTTAGGGTAGGCTGCGTTGTAAATTTAAAAAAATTATTTTCGAGTTGAAACTTGACCACCCACTCAATAATTGGACTAGGTTAGGTTGAAGTGTTATTAACCGATTGAAATCGACCTATCCGAATATCAATCACTCTTAAATATATATGTATATTAAATGCACATATAAATAAAATTGAATAGTTATTGAACACACTTGTTTACTTCTTCTTTAGTTAAATAATGAATTCAAATATTAAGTAACAAGTAGTGATTCTACAACACCAAATTCACAAGATTTAAGTTTAAAATTACGTGTGTTTTGGATTATTTATCACTCATAATCACTTTAGGAATAAGAAAAAAAGGTAAATAATCACAACCCGATAAACTCATCCAACCCAACCCACCTTTGAATGGTTTGCACGTTTTCTTAGGTGAAATGGGTTTTCATAATGTCACGATTGAAGTCCAACCTGACCAATCCACCCAATGTCCATTGGCTAATTTAAAGTAAGAATGCAACTGGTGAAGCTTTCATAATATCAAAAAATGGCCCTCTCTTTTTAAAAAATTTTAATGAATACAATTTAATTAAGAAGGGACAAAACTATAAAAAAAAATAATCAAATCAAAACTAACTCACTTACACGAGGAGTAGTTAGTGAAATATCTATTTTTATTTTTATTTAGTGTAAATAATATCATTTATGTTGTAAGCCTATTTGACTGAACTGTATAAAGGACAGAGAGGGAAAGGGCCGATGGCAACAGAGAGAGAAGAGAGATATGTAATTCTGAGGTGTGTGCTGTATCACCCTCTTATGCCTTTATTTATAGTAGTAGGATAGGTAGAATCCTTACTCTAAAAGGATTACATCTCTAATAGGAATTAAACTACTAAAGGGAATATACAAGATACTCCTAGATATACTAGGATTTACACAATCACATTCCTAATCCAATAGGACTGTAACACTCCCCCTTGAGTGTGTAAATACTCAAACAAAACGTCGCATCAAATCTTTAGTAGATGAGGTAGAACATTTGATCTAGTCGTCGGCATAACTGGTGAATGCGAGTCTCAAATATAAGAAAGTAAGTATGCATTGGTAGTAAAACTCACAAAACCTCGCTATGGTAAAACTCATAGACTAAGGAGAAAAGTGAAAAGTATGCATAATGTCTAAAACAAACGTCAAACAAGATGAAAGTAGTGAACTCAACGGAGTATGATCATCCTAAGATAGGTGCCTCATCAAAACTTGGTTAGGTAGTAAGAACCCAGTGGGTAAAATGCTCCTAATCATAGGAAAAAGAATACATTAAGATCAAGTGAGTATGCTTCAGGATACTCCCCCTAAGTTAGACATAACTTCCAAATAAGAGAACTACAAGCAATTCAACTCAAATAATTTACGCATACCAATTCCTTGGACGAACTTCTAAGAAGTAGACTTGGGCAATGACTTCATAAAGAGATCGGCCAGGTTGTCCTGGGAACGGATTTGCTTGACTTCAATATTCTGATGTTGTTGTTACTGGTGAGAATAAAAGAACTAAAGTGTTATGTGTTTGGTGCTGTCTCCCTTGATGTATCCCTTCTTTAACTGCTCGATACATGCTGCATTGTCTTCAAAGATCGTTGGATGAACGTCAACAACGGAAGTAAGACCACTAATGCGTCAAATATATTCCACAACTGCTCTCAACCAAAAGCACTCTCACAAGGCTTCATATAAGGTGAGAATCTCAGTATGGTTCAAAGAAGTTGCAAATAACGTTTGCTTGGTAGACCTCCAAGATATAGCGGTGTCTCCAACAATAAAGACATTACTCATTTGAGAATGTGCCATATCTGGGTTAGATAGATAACCAGCATCTGCATAACCAACGAGGGGGAATCAACTCGAGGATCAAGGGGGCAGCGGTTCCTCTCGAGGATTCATGGGTGTAGAACAAGCCCAAATTCGTCGTATCCTTGAGGTAGCGAAAAATGTCTTTAACACCATTCCAGTGTCTGCGTGTAGGCGCGTTGTTGTATCTAGCCAAAAGATTAACAATTAAGGAGATATCGGGTCTAGTGCATTGAGCCAAGTACAATAAAGCACCAATTGCACTTAGGTATGGAACTTTAGGCTCCAAAATTTCTTCATCATCCTCCTTAGGATGGAAGGGATCTCGTTTAGCATTTAGAGTCCGAACGACCATAAGAGTACTCGAAGGCTTCGCTTTATCCTTATTAAAATGTCGCAACACCTTCTGGGTGTAGTTCGATTGATGTACTAGGATTCCATCCGAACAATGCTCGATCTCCAGGTCGAGACAATATCAAGTTTTCCCAAGATCCTTCATCTCAAATTCATATTTCAAGTGAGCGGCAATTTCTTTAAGCTATGTGAGAGTTTCGATGAGGTTCATGTCGTCAATATAAACTACAACGATCCCAAATCCAGAATGTGACTTCTTAATGAACACGTATGGACATAGTTCGTTGTTCACATAATCCTGACTTGTCAAATATTCACTCAAACGGTTATACCACATCCGCCCGGATTGTTTCAATCCACTAAGTGATTTCCTCAATCTAATCGAGAGAGTGTTTCGAGGTCTAAAACTATTTGAACCAGCCAATGGAAGTCATTTTGGAACTTTCATGTACATTTTCATATCTAGATCCCCATAGAGATATGCGGTTACCACATCTATAAGCTGCATATTCAGTTTTTCGGAAACTACCAAACTGATAAGGTAACAAAATGATATGACGCCTATTACAGGGGAATACGTCTCCTCGTAATCAATCTCAGGGCGTTGAGAGAAGTCTTGTGCTATGAGGCATGCTTTGTATTGCACTATTTCATTATTCTCATTATGCTTCCTCACAACAACCCACTTGTAGCCCACAGGCTTAACGTGTGATGAAGTAGGAGCTACAGGCCCAAAACACATTTCGTTTTACGAGTGAATCGAGTTCGATCTGGATTGCTTGTTTCTAGTTTGACCAATCCATTCTACGTTAACATTCATCAACAGAACATGGTTCAATATCATCGTTAAGCATGATGTCAGAAGTAACGGTATACGTGAATGCATCATCGACAATCATCACATTCTGATTCCAAACCTCATCCAATACTGCGTAATGGACCGAAATCTCATGATTCTTAAGAGGCTGATATGTCTCATCTTAAACATCACCATAATTTAAAATAACTTCATGCGTTGGAATAAATGAGTAAGCAATGGTCGGATTCAAACTAGGGTCACTAGTTTATGCCATTTTCCTGTTATGGGGTTGTGAATCCTTTGAACCAAGAAGCCTGCCACGCTTCAGGGTCGGAGCAGGTAATTGGCTAGTCGCCAGTGTACCTTACTGTGTGGGAGGTGTGACCACCCCACCCTCAAGAACGGTTCGACCTTTCAAGGTGGTGTTATGGCGTACATTTAGTGCGTCCATCCTTGCAGGTGCATTTGCAGTGGGTATATGTGATCTCGTCACCTTTGCTAAATCAATAAAAGCATCTGGCATGCTTTGAGCAATGCTCTAAAGATCTAGGATGCGTCGCACTTCAGTTTCAGAATGAGCGGTACGGGGATCTAAATGAGACACAGTGGGAGTAATCCACGACAATTTATAGCGTTCTACATGAACGTTAGTGATCTTATCTCCCTTAATGATGGGAAAACTATCTCATTGAAGTGATAATTTGCAAAACGTGTGGTAAAAAGATCTTCTGTCAAGGGCTCTAAGTAGCGTATAATGGATAGTGAATCATAACCGACATAAATTCCTATTTTTTTTCTCTGAGGGCCCTTTTTGGTACGTAGTGGCGGCATTATTGGCACATAGACTGCACACCCAAATACACGTAAATGCAAGACGTCTTGCTCGTATCCAGTAACCAACTATAACGCTGAATGAGGTTGGGTAGCGGTGGGCCTTAGACGAACCAACATAGTTGCGTGCAATATTGCATAGCCCTAGGTAGATACTAGCAAATTGGTTCGCATAACCAAAGTCAGAGCTATCGTTTGAATGCGCTTTATGAAAGCTTCTGCCAGGTCATTTTGGGTGTGAACATGGGGTACGATGTTCAACTTCAATCCTAACAGACATGCAATAATCGTCAAAAGTCTATGACGTAAACTCTCCAACATTATCCAATCGAATTGACTTAATTGGATCATCAGGGTGGTGAGCCCTAAGTTTAATAATTTGTGCTAGGAGTTTCGCAAATGCAGCATTGCGTATGGACAATAAGCAGACATGTGATCATCGTGTCAATGCATCAACCAACACCATGAAGTATCTAAATGGTCTGCATGTTGGTTGGATAGGTTCACAAATATCCCTTTGAATCCTCTGAAGAAAATTAAGAGGGTCGTGAATAATCTTTGTAATTGAGGGTTGAATGTTCAACTTCCCCAGGGAGCATGCTTTGCAAAGTGGATGGTCGAGATAAGCTTTCAAGTGATGCCCATGAGATACTTTAAGGATGCAACACATCATATCTCGTCCGGGGTGTCCCGTTTGATCATGGAAAAGCAAGAGAGTGTCCTAGAACCCAGCCACATGGCCGGCTGATATTATTTTTAGGTACCTGCGCAAAAAGGATAAAATCACACAAAATACTTGCAAAAGAACAAAGTTGTTGTAGTATAAACGGCTCAAGAAATGTCGTTTTCCGCAGGGATTATTTAAAACAATTTATGAAAAACCAAAATTTTAGTTAATTATTTAAAAAAATAATAAGAAAATGGTTTACCTAAATTAAGAAAAAGGAAATTAATTAAAAAAACTAATTAAAATCTGTAATTTTTAGAGAAAGAAAAAATAAACAATTTTTAGAATTTAAAATGAGAAAATACTAGGATTCCGCCGTCACCCT